TTTAGAGGAACATAAAGCATATAGAAAGCTATCGCATTACCTGAGGAAAACAAATTGGAATCCCTCCCCTCACAGCTGTTGGTGGCTTAAAAGTTGCCTAAAACGCATAAAGGAGAGCAAGCTATCAGTTTTCACATAGCAACAGATTCTCTGTTTCACACATATTAGCTCCTTTCTTCTCTTCAGTTTACAAAATTTCCTTAAATTCGATTTTTTAACAAGTCAGACTCAAGAAACCACCTTGATGCAGGACTAGAATCTGAGGGTTCTGAAGGGGATGAAATGGAGATGAAGAATATAACCATGTAGCAGCAGAAATTCTAACAAAAAGATACTCTCATTTCATCAACAAAAATTTTGAAGAAGCTCAAAACTGTGATTCAACATGAACCAAATTCAGTTTTCATTGCAAGATTAGTGAAAATACGAGTCTTGCAAAACTAGGCAGATCCAAGAGGCTTCTGTTGGTTCAACTGAACTCATTACTTTCAGCTCGAATTATGTATGTATATCAGTATATGCCCAAAAAGATTTGAAATGTATGCATATACAATCATGCTCATACTGAACTCACAACTCTAACTTCTGACTTTGCCTTTGCTTACAAGCTTTTCACCCACAAATCAAATCGAGAAGAAAGACAAGGACGATTGTTTCAGCACAATTGGCTTCAGAAATGTACCTTGCTGCTTATAAAAAGTAATTCTTCACCCTGGTCAGTCTTCCATGAAAGAACCTGTCCTCCATGCAGGCTAACCTGGATACATAAAACAATACAAAAGGATTTATAAATTCTCATCTTAAACACCCTTCAGTCAAACACAAAATATCAATCTCAAAAGTAAACTAACTCGAACAGAAGCGCCACGTAGACTTCGAAGCAAAACTTGATCAACCCCATTCTTATCCTTTGCAATTTCTACAGGTTTAAAATCCTTATCTGCTGCAGAATGATCCATTTCAAGAACACAAATTGGATATCAATATGAAGAACTAACTTGTGTTTTTCTCTGATATAACACAGCATAAATCCTCTAACTTTTATACAAATTTCTAATTTACACAAAACAACAAACACTTGAGCTGCAATTACTCAAAGCAGTTGAAAATTGATACTTTTCCCTTATGACAATCCCAGTTTTCCCGTGAAAAGTCTACCAAAATCCTAACAAACTCAAATCAACTCAACTCCACTAATTTAATACCCAATTTATCTTTCTTGTGGAAATTATTAATGACCATAAAAAGCAAGAAATACCCTTTTTTACTCAAAAAGATTTGAACTTTTTTACTTTTTCCCCAAAATGAAGCAACCCCAAGAATCTACTATTGTGTAGAATTTCAAGAACAAAAAAGGGAGATTCAAATTAAGAATCAAAATTCTCTAACCAATTATTTTCTTCAAATAGTGATTTTATTTTCTTTTATCATAATGACTCTTTGGACTTATTTGCAGCTATTAAAGAAAATTAATATTGAGAAAAGTCATATATTTGAACAGAATAAATGTGGAGCATAAATGTATATAGTACATTACATTAAATTATGAAAGCTGAGAATTTGTCATTTCAAAATTTAATTGGACGTTGATTACCTGAATTAACGGCCTTTGAGGATAATTTTGGTCTAAATATATGTCCTCTTGACTTTTCCTTTTTAACCTTTATTTTCCGACTCGCTTTATGGTTAGATTAAATTTAGATTCAAAACATTCATATCAACGGTAAACAACGTCATACCTCAGATTTTTCGTTTTTGGTTTCCCACCCATTATCTAGAGCCCGCATCGAAGCCCCGACTAACTCCTAACATGATTTTCTTCATACTCATGATTAAGGGTGAAGTAAACTCACCTGCACCATAACTCGTGTTGATCATGAAAAATTATTTATTATTCCACAACAATTATTATCAATTTCCCTAGTAAAAAACCTTTATTAAATTCAAGAAGAAAATTTGGTTACATCTTAATCTCGAACAATTTATAACATTGATTTTGTACTATGGTAATTTAAGAAATTCAATATTTATAATTTTATATTAAATTTGACTCACTATTAGAAATAATATATTGATTTTATAACAAACTCTTTTTTGGAAATTCTCATATAAGTCTTGTTTTTTCTTCTTCTTTTTATTCATAATGACTACATAGTAACTTTCATACATGAAGGATAATTTCATTCTTGTAATGATCAAATACATTATATCCATTTGCATAATATTTTTTCGCTCTTATCGTCAACCTTAATGATTTTTTTTGTCATTTCATACCTTGTTCTCTATTTTAAGCATCCTAGGAATTTTTTTTGTCATTCACTTTATTTTGATAGGAACATGATTTTGAACATAATTAAAGATATTTAGATTAAAAGCATTATCCTTGACTCTTGAACCAACCTTTTAGTTGGTAGGTGGTATATAGCTGTTGAAACATGTCATATATCTTCTTCTTTTTTTTTGTTTCGGAATCTAGTATTCGATTTGAGATTAATTAATTTGAATTTACATTAGAAAATCTTACGTTATTTGTTTTCTATTTAGGCTTCTTTTCATCCATTTCATTTTGTTAGTTGGTGTAACCTTTTCTCTTTCTGTAGTATTTTATATTATTTTTTTTCTTCTATATTTTTTTTTCAAATCTGCTTTGATTATTTTATTTGAGTCAAATGTTTTTCGAAAATAACTTCTCCGTCATCACAAGGCAAGAGTAAAGTTTACATAGACATCACTCTCTCAAACTTCACTTATGAAATTGCGTTGAGTATGTTATTGCTTTCGCTCTTACTTCAATTTTTCCCAACAACCATGTAATTAATTTTCTTAGATTTAATATGGTATGAGTCAATTCCAAGGAGGGGGAGGAATTTGATTTGAATTAGTAGGGATATAGCTGTTGAAATATCCAACTATATCTTTTTTCTCTTTTTCTTTTTGTTAGCCGATTTGATATTTATTTTACGACTTTATTAATTTGAATTTATATTGAAGAGTCTACTTTAACAATAAAATACTATTAAAGACGATTTTATATTCTGGAATTGAACTCGATCCAACTATAAAAAGGAGAGAAAAAAGAAAAATCAAAACTAAAATTTTGACTAAATAACTTACAAATATATCAAATTTAAGCACAACTTGGATGGCTAGGGCTCCAACATGATTTAAGCACTTGTCAGCAATTTTTTAAAATAAATATTTTGATGAAGTATATATAGAATTTATTAAGAGCACTCAAATATAATTTTCTTGAACAAGAGATAGTCAATAATTGGATTTAATCATATCTTATAATTATTGCCATTTGTAAATAACTAGCCCATTAATGTAATTTGTAAATATCAGTGAATGACCTTTATTTTTTCTCCTATCTAATTATGTGTCCTAAGTTGACTCCAATGAACATTTTTTTTTGCAAATTTTTACAATAATATTTGACCTTGATTATTCAATATTTCGAAAGCAAATGGCAGTCATTTTCAAAAGTAGAATAAAAGTACTTGTCAAATAATTAAAATTTAGCTACAAAACAATATTTAACTAATAATTTTGGATAAAGTTTTTTCTTTATGATGAAGGGGGATGTTTCAAGCTAACATAATTAGTTAGATTTGATGTATTCAATCTTTAGATGGTTACCGTTGAATTAATTATATCTTTAAAATTATTGATTCAAAAATCAATATAATAATAACATATTCTGCTTTGTATCAAAATTGTTAGATTCAATTGAATTCAGAGGCGAAACTAGGGGCCTACTTTACCGAAAAATCACACTATACGTATAAATTTTGTCTTCGCCATCGATGGATCAAATCATTATTTGTTTTAAAATAATTATTTTATACATAACTTTTTAGCTAACCAACAAAAAGAGACATGGGGACAAATGGTTGGATTGAGGAATAATGCCAAACTCCATAGCCATCCCAACATAAAACATAGGGCCATCCCCAAAACCAAATGACAAAATTCACATAACATCACTTACCCCATCACCATAAATATGAGAATTTTATGAGTGTGTAACTACTCACTAGAATAGCCACAAAAGCTCCTCTTACATAAGCTTTTGCATATATCTCTAAGCTTAAATAAAGGAATACATGACACGTGTCTTTACGTATATTTAATACATACCAATAAATAGTACTAGTAGTTAATTATTACACATTTTTACTTTAAATTTTATGATTTATCTCATAAATTAGTATATAATCTGATATAAATATCGAGGCTAAGTAATTTTGTGTTGTTCTTGTGTATTCTCAAAATAATAATAAAGTAAACTATCGAGAGTGAGTAATTTTGTATTGTCCTCGTGTATTTTCAAAATAATAATAGAGTAAGCACAAACAAGATACCAACTAATTAAGAATTTAAGACATAGTTGATGTCTTTGATGAATTAATCGAAAAGAGCAAATATATGAGACTGAGTAAAAACAGAAATGACATTATGCCTGTCCATAACATCTTAGACCTTTTCCATTATTATTATTATATTGATAATTAGATCTTTTCACCAATTGACTAATATGCACAATTACATTTTACACGTTATTTAGATATGGTGTCATGCTCAAATCTCTAAAAGAAAATTTAATTCCAAGTTGAGGGAATCTTGATATGGTACAATGGTAAGAACACGTGATAGGTGAGTTAAACGCACATCACGAATTCAAATTAAGATAGAAAATATGGTTGAAAATGTGATGTTTTTGGGAGTATAAGATGGCTCATGATATTGGTTTCTATGACTTAGATAGTAAACGTTGCGAACACCAATTTGGTTCATACAATCATACTAACCCTGAAGACTTCGTTAAGGAATAGTTGTGGGTCTCTGGCAAGGATTGAGATGGAACGACAGAGGTCTTGAAGGTGGTTGATCCTGAACTTTTGACCCCACTTACTCATGGGTCGTATCTAACTATTTAAGCTTGTAAATGAGGTGATCACACGAATCTACACGATATAAGAACAGATATAAGTCCTAAGTTCAAGTTCAATATTTGAAATTGCTATAGAAGCAATCTTAAGAGATTTGGCAATCGTCACATAGTTCAACAAACTTTATATCTCCATAACATTGATATCAATAGTCCATGCTTAAATAATGGACAATGTGCACTCTGTGAATACATCATCATACAAAGAACTTTTCTGACCATAGTCCCTACACTCCAAGAACCCTTTGTACATTCCTTGAAGGCATGGTGATGTCAAGAACTAAGGTGTGTGCTCTCTCTACCACGCGGCTCTTCATGATTGGAGTGAAAAACTTCAACCACCTTTGTACAGTGCACCAAATCTCCAGTGACTGATTCTCTTTATGTACTAAAAGAGGCGATCCAATCAAGCTGCTGCGCATACAGACCCTAAAAAAAAGAAGAGCGATTTAGTATACCATGATGTCACAAGGAGCAATGTAACAATAGCAGTAAATTCCTTGTTCTTTTTCCTCCTCCTAAGTTATTTACTGATTCTTCTACGTAATTGTATAGATCACCTCTCGACTCTCAAGATACAAACAAACAATATCTATATGTCTGAACTCGTCAGGCAAGAGAGCAAAATGACCTAAGCTTGATGAAAACAGCAAAGTAATTGACCTCAAAACAGTTCCCTAAATAAAGACAGGAGATAACTTCAGCTGGCCTCACCATACAGTAGTTATTTTTTCTCCGTCCCTCTTCATATAGCTTTCTTTAACCAAAACACCTACTGATATAATAACTCTGGCAACAATTGCCTTCAGTTCCTTTTCTAGTACCAAGAATTATCTCTTCTACCTTTCACTTCAAAATGGATCTTCTACGATTCCCTTCAAAGTGGATCAGTTCTATAGAAGGAAAAAGAAGATGGGATGCAAGTAAAATTTACTCCAAAAGTTACCAACTAAGTTTATACAAGCTTTCACACAACATATCAGTATATTATAACAATGATGTCCGTATGTGAAAACTTTCTTTTTCCTTATAATAATTCTCAGTATACTCAAACCACTCTATCATCTATATTTTTAATGAGGAAAAAACTATTTATAAAATAGCTCTCTAATTATCAATTTCTAATAGGAACTAACAATTTTCATACTCAAATTAGAGATGCTCCAGTAGAACCTCCTAATTAAAACAATCCACAACTCATACGGAGACAGCAATTTGTTTATACGGTCAATAACTGCTGCAAAAGGAGGCGCCAACGTTTTTTTCTCTCTCCTATTTCCTATGGGAGAGAGAGAGAGAGAGAGAGACCTGAAGACCAGGAAGAGCAGCAGAACTTCCCTTCATCAACATACTTCACATCAAGGCCAATGAACCAGGATCCAGCACTCACATCATCATGAGCATATGAGCGAAGTATTGATCTACAAAGTGGAGGGAGACAAAACAGTAAGCATTTCACTATTGCCATCACAATTGATGGAAACATATGGCTTTGTTTTTCTTTTTAAGTGGAGTGATGTGCATAAAAGATAGCCTACTAACAGATACGATCAATCTAACATGGAAACAATTATGGAGAAGTAAACACATGTTACAAACAAAACCGACCCTTTACTGAGAGTAGAAACCCAGCTCAAGGTTCTTGGCACCTCAGTTGTTGCTACTTCAGCATGCAATAGAAACATAATGCTAATCCACCTTTTTTTCTGATAATAAGTACACAGTCAATCCCTCATATTTTACCTGTTGATAGAAATAAATTGAGCCAAGGCCTTCGATATAGCAAATATTTCACCGGAAGCATGCCTGAAATATCTGGTTGCGAAAGAGTACAAAAAAAATGGAAGAATTAGCATCTAAACAAGTTGAAGACTCAACAGCATGCAGATGCTGGCACGTCATGCCTGATCCATATCAGCAGAATAGCAGCATGACCGGAAAAATCGTTGAGTTCATATCTATTCTTTTTCTTTTTTCTTGGGGTGGGGGGGTTAGGAGGAGGGGTGGGTGGAGTGATGTACATATCTATTCTTCTTCCTGCTGGCAGTTGAACATCTCTAGGTAATCTCCATTCACAAATATTTTGTTCAACTTCTCCAACAAATATTAACATAACTAATGAAATTAAAACTCTTCAAGTTTGCTAACACAAAAGATAAAGAAAGAAGAAAAGGAAGAAGATAAGAATCCAATACTCATAATGCAATTTCCCTTGAATATATACTCATATTTATTTTCCTTCTCCAACAATTTTCCTCTTTTGCAATACTCATATATTTATTTTCCTTAAAACATTTAAAATAGTGTAGCTTCATTTTTGTTTGGAACATATCTATGTCAGAAACCATAATTAATATATTTCTTGTCTATCCTGGCAAAAAAATTGTCCTCTCCCTCAGTTTATGAGGGCTAACTCTGAGATTCAAATTATGTATGATCAATCTTTCCAACCAAGACTCACAAGCGCCTAGCACTAGACAGAGAAGAGGTATAACTACAATACATGCAGCAGTGGGTCTCTGCAGTATATCTAGCACTGCTTGCTTCAGCCAGATGATTTCAGTAAATAGTACAAAAGTACTCACGATTTTCCATCCCCAAATTTCCACCACTCTGGCTCATACCATTTCTGTTCCCTGTGAATAAGAAACAAAAATTAGGTTATGAAGAACTAACACTGTCTTTCAGCAAAACAGCAATCATCCAATAAACAAGAGAAACTTACGACTGTGAAAAAACTTCGCCAGATTTCATACACCCTATGTAGGCACGAGGCTTATCCAAATAGCTGGTAAGTACAGCTCCAATAGCATCTGTGGATAAACTAAAGCCAATAAGCATACAGCACATATTTTTAAAACATAAGAGCATGTTAAGTGTTAACAGGTTAAAAACTCAGCAAAGAACATCATAGATATGACGTTATAATATTATGTTTCATTGGTTATGGTGTTGCAATTTTCTGTGAAGGACATAGCCAATCGAGATTCTATCATTAGGATTATAGTATCTCAAGTGATCATCTCCATTCAATTTTGCAATGGTTAGAGAGTAGAGAGTAAGAAGATGCAACAAGATTTCTCATTGGCATCTTGATACAATCTATTAAATAAATAGACTATTCAAGGTTATTGCATACTTTATTTAATCAAAAGAAACCCTGATATAATGGACTCAGGGTAGTTGATTGAACGCTCCAAGTCGTAATTCAATAGGATTCATTCTGGTCCTAGCTTTGTAAATGAGGCAACTTTTCTTTTGAGCAACTTTCACACAATATGGCGCATTCTACATTTGCTCACTCAGGGAAATCAATTTAGACCTGGTTGGCCACAAACAGGCACCATGCCTTTATTATTTTAGGTAACATGACACAGCTTCAACACTGCCTTGCTTTTGTACATTTTTTGTGATTTATGTACTGTCTCTTTGAGAATCCTACAGCTTGACAAGAATGAAAATCAAAATCACCTAGGTACAACTTCTTTCTGTTCTTTACCTCATTATCATTTCCAGATTCAATATGCCAATGCTGACATACATTAGGTAACTCTTTAGCAATCTCTTTCCTACACTTACGAGTCTAAAGAATTTGATGACTTCAAATCTACCATAACAGTTTCTAAAATGGAAAGAAAATTAAATCATAGAAAATGGAAAGAAGTTAGCAGAGCACAGACTACAGTACCTAAATTAACATAGACATTGTCGTTGACCTTAGCATAAAACTCAGCATCCCAATGCTCAACAGCGTGAGCAAAAAATGACTTTGTCTTCTTTGATTGCTCTTGAGGGGACTCCACATGATCATTCTACTCAGGAAGAAAATAATATTCACATACTGAGTTTTCTAGACATATGTGCTACAAGAACTAGATAACACAGTAAAGTAACCCGATTTTCAGAACGGTAAGATATACTTATAAAGACATAAAAATAAGCTCGCACAACATGAGTGTGCTGACATATAACAACATTATTGATACCCATTTATTTATTTGAAAAATTCTTTTCCTCGAAAAGGAAGTGGGATTTGATTACCCTAATTTATTACTATTTCTTTCTGTGGTAAAGGAAGGATGTGAATAACTCAAGAAGATTTAATCTATTTTGATAGGTTAGAACGACTAACAACTCTCAGTTAAATTAACATTCATCAAGCTCGTTTCTTTAATGGTAATAAATAAAAAAATTGCTATCTTTAGTTGATAACAAGAAACTTAGTTTATAAGAAATGACATGCAAAAGCTTCACATACAAGAATGATGAAGTCATTGGAATTCCTGCTTTCATCATCAATGGCTCTATCTGAACTATCTCCACGATTCAAACTGCATGAGGTGTAAATTCGAGTAAGTAACCTGATTGAAAGAAACATCTAGTACCTTATTTTCAAAGAGCATTATGGTGTATCCTTTATTTAATTCAGATTTCTCAAGGTAGGTACCTTCTTCCTATGACGAATCGAATTACGATACCTTTCTCCTCCTCTAATTTTTTACGAGCAGGACCTGCCAAAAGTAACTTACAAATTTAGAATGAAATCAGTTGTTTCAAAAGTTAACTCATCATGATAGCAGTTGTACTGCAGATACTTCTGATTAAGACAAGATCAATGATATTACTAGGGAATGCCACAGCAATCCAGTCTAAATGTGTTCAACAGACAATGGTTTCATCAGCAAGGTGAGATGAAATATAACTTCAGCATCTTAGTTGAATTGGTTCAATTTTAGCTTCACAAAAGGCCTACCAAAAGAAATCAAGAAAAAGGGGATCGGATAAGAAAGCTAAACCAGTAGGCATCCATGCTTTGCGAATTGCGTCTCTGTTTTTCTTGTTGCCAAAATTTGTAGAGACACCTATAACAGCTAGAAGTTTTTTCTTTGAATCCTTCTCATTGTTATCCAGTAGATGCTTTGACACAAAACCTTCCTGACTGGCTTTGCCCAGTTCCATCTGAAGTGCAGTTAGCCTTTTCTGTTGTTCCCTGGCAAAAAAATCATCAGCCTGTATAATCCCAGTATAAAATTCCAATATGAAGAGAAATTCCCTCAAAGCTAGGACTGAAATTCAATCACAATCATCTAACCTGCAGGTTATGATCTTCAGTGTATCATCTACTGATATAGCCGAACGGCCCTGTAAAGGAAGATAAGCATGCCTATAACTTTTGATATAACATTAACCATCTCAAGACTCAACTCATCAGGACCAATGAAACAACAAAAAATTGAGATCTCAATGCCAACTTCATCAAACTATCTGACAAAAAATCCCTTTTTTGAAGTACACTTTTTTGACAAAAAACTTGTAATTGAACAAAGAATCTTTATTAGTGTAAGTTTACATCAGATATCAAGCATAAACAGGCCTAGGTCACAAAGGCTTTTTAGAAGGGCTAGCCTGAGCAGTACAGTACCATTCACCTTGAGATTCCTCTCGTGAAGGAATTTTCAGGTGAACATATGAAAAAGAGGACTCTTGCCGCTTCCTGTAGCCCTTAAATAGCAATAAAACCCAGGTCTTTCATGTAAAAAGTGAGATTCCTCTCGTGAATGAATTTTCAGGTGAACATATGAAAAAGAGGACACTTGCCGCTTCCTGTAGCCCTTAAATAGCAATAAAACCCAGGTCTTTCATGTAAAAGGGGTTTGGTGCATAATCTGACATAACTATGTCATACTAATAAGCAATAGAATTTCTGCCTGTTTCTGAGCTCTATTCATTTTATGTTACTAGAACAACTAGCAAAAACTGGGCATAAAGGCTTTTGGTGATCTTATTGGTGCACGGTATGGGGGTTCCTCAACTTGGGTGAAGTTCTAGCAGATTAGCCCAAGTAAAACTTGTGACAAATGACAATGTTGAGTCTTACATGAAGGAAATGCACTCTTCACCAAACCTATACAGATGGCTAGTTAACATTTGATAATGTGGAACCTTGGATTTTCTTTATAATCAATCATATTAACCATATTCTATATTCAGACAAAGGAGACTACCTCATAGTCAGTTATTATAATCCTGACATGACAACCACCTTGATCTTTATAGAGCCTATTTGATCCTACATACTACAACTTACTAAAACAAAGATGATTGGAGAATTCAGGGAAAATGAATCAGCTTTATCTACCACATGAATAGAACAATGTTACCATTTGAGAGAAAATACCTGTCCGGTTCTCCTATCAAGCTCTTGAATAAGATATACCCTATTCTCCGAGTCCAGCCACAACCTGCCAATTATGCAATTACCAGTTGCCACAGTTAAATCATCATCGTCAACTACAAAAACAACACACCCAGTGAAATCCCACAAGCCACAAGTGGGGTTACCCCTAACTTGTGGACGACTCTCAACTCACTACAACAAATCAAAGTAGGTATGAAAAGGAAAAACGATAATAAAAAAAACATAGCAACTAATAAGGAAACAGTAACAACAACAAAATAGTGTGATAACTGAAACACGATAAACAACAAATGATGAGAGAAATCAAAAGCAAGACACTGTTAGAAATCATTCAATTAATCATTATCAAGGATTAAATACGTGGCTCCACTTAGCTTAGCTCGCATAGGCCAATTCACACACGACACTAGCAGTGTGATAAATAAACAAACCAGAAAAAAAGGAAAATGTGCATTTATGCATGGACGCACATATATATATATATATATATATATATATATACACAAGAGAGAGAGATCAACCTGCCGGCGACATAAAGAGCAGCCATTGTAGAGAACATAGAGAGCATTAGAAACGACATTCGAGAACGGAAATTGGAGGTGGATGATAGCCGGTTGGTGGAACCCCGACTATTCATTTCTTCGACGTCGTCGACTCCGACGGAGCAGTCGTTGGCGGCGGCCGATTACGGCTATTGATATCGGAGGAATTTAGACTGATCGGAGCTGATTGAGTTGCCGAGATTTTCGATCCAATTGTCAATTTGGGATTTTTTAGTTTAAAGTGTGAGGAATAAGATTGAGGTGTTATCAATGAAGATCTAGTAAGGTTTCAATGTCCGTTTTAATTTTTAAAAAAAGAGTGATGCTGTAATAAATAAAAAGAAATAAAACTGGTTGAACTTCCATTTTACTAATGGTGTTCAAGAATAATGGTGTATTACTATTAAAATAATAAAAAATATTATGCTATTTGGAGTTCAAACCAAAAATTTTCGTTCAAATGGACATCAATTACCACTATGCCAAAAAGGAATCTGCTATTTGATTGCTATGTAGGCTCCATCTCCATTAAAGTATTAGCTTATAGTCGCACCAATTTTCCTTCCTTTTTAGTGCACATGAAACAAAAACCCTAATAGAGACTACCTACACTGTGATCAAAACTCTTCCTTCTCTGCTTCACTGTCAATTGATTGGCGCATGAACAAAGTTGTAACGGATCATGTACGCGTCGATCAAACACGACTTTGACACCTGCTTGTGGTAGGGGACCGGGGTGATTTCGCGAGCAGATGATCCCGCATTCAAGCAATCAATCATTCTTTCTATCGGAGACTTCGAGAACTCTATGAAGATCGAATTAGGTCTCAACGAGCGAATCAGTGTTTTACTACCAACCACAATTTTCATGTTCGAAGCAGTATTCATACGGGAAATTATGATCAAAGAGTTCTTTATCAACTACCATCTACTTCAGAAATTCCTACGAAAATCTATTTCAAATACAAAATTCAGTATCTTTCACTGAATTAGCAATATTTTTTCTGTGGGCTTTCGGAAATCTGTTTCATGTAGCTTGGCAAGGAAATTTTGAGTCGTAAATACAAGACCATGCAGGCTCGCCATAATAATTATGACTCATACACTTAGCCAATTTATCTCTTAATGTAGGATCATTCAAGTCAGGTTTTTTTTGTTATTGGAATAAGTGAATTCTTATAGATCCATCCCCGAGGAAACTGGACATGATAATTTTTAATCATCTAGCTTCCTTCAAAAGGGCTTCTGCTTCCTCGGTAAATGTCTTGGTAGAAGATATAATTTCTTGGAACTGAGGTTTAGTAGTTCTTATTAAGTAAGTACGTAGCTCAACAACAAATTTCCTTACATGTTCAACTTTTAATGAATCAAGATAGTCATTTGTTTCGGCATAATAGCTTTTGTCAAGGGTGTCCAACTTTAAATATAGAATTTGACATATATATACCACGTAATTTTCCGATGAAGGGTATTTGGACATCTTGGGATGGCTGTAGCTACGCCACTGTTATGCACTACATGGTTCATTCGGAGGTGGCCAACTGGATTTTCTCCATATTCAGGACTTAAATTCGAGATCTTTAGTTAAGGGTGAAACAACTGCATCACTGCACCGCAACCGATATTAATAAATTGATAGGTACTTAAATAAAGGTTCTATAAAAGCTAGTAAAAAATAATGGGATTTTCAAATTTCTTTCATATATCATGGCCAAATTGAAAAAAGAAAAACAATACACTATAATTTTAACGAAATTTTATTGTCCCTGCACATATGGTTCAATGACCGATTGACAAATATTAGAAAAAATGAATCACACAAATTTGAATAAGTGATATTGTAAGTGAGATTGATCATTGAAACATCAAATTATTGAATTATTTCAAATATACACTGTAATTTTAACGAAATTTAATTGTTCCTGCACATATGGTTCAGTGACCAATTGACAAATATTGGTAAAAAAGAATCAAGAAAATTTGAATAAGTGATATTGTAAGTGGGATTGATCATTGAAACATCAAATTATTGAATTGTTTCAAATATACACTATAATTTTAATGAATTTTTATTGTCCCTACACATATGGTTCAGTGACCAATTGACAAATATTAGTAAAAAAGAATCACAAAAAAATTGAATAAGTGATATGTAAGTGAGATTGATCATTGAAACATCAAATTATTGAATTATTTCACATATGTGGAGCCTATATATGAAGTGCTATTTACATGCCTCTTAAGTTAATTGAACAAGCCAATATTTTGAAGATAAAATTAGTTTAAATTGTATTTTAAAAATATAATTCGTAGTCACACTTGATTTGCGACTTGAGTTAATTAAGCAAACAAATCATTTTGGAGATTATGCTAGTTTAAAATCACATTTTAAAAATATAATTTGTAATTGCACTTTTAAAATGCAATAGGTCAAAAGATGAATAATCATCCTCTAAAATAATTGAGTTATCCCGCAAACAATACACACAATGTATATCACATATATATGCATTTTTTTTTTGAATTTCTCATAAAAAAAAATACCTACATTTTCCGGCCAAAAATGCACATTTTGAAAAAAATATATATACTAAAGGACAAGGGACCATGGGGAGGAAACTTCCTAACATGTGGGATTTCTCTAACAGTGACAAAAATGTCATTATGAAACTTTAGGAAAATATCATGAGAAAAATAAAACTATTAAGACTTATATTATTGTAATTATGTTATTTTATTTTCATTACATAATTGTGATAGCAATCTAAAATTTTCCTTTTCTATTTTTCTTCTGATTTTTATATTATACTAGGTTGATGAACAATTTGTAAGTATATAAAATACTTTAGCTTATCCACCTTAATGCTAATTAATTTTCTTCTTAATATGTAATTGCAATTTGTTCAATATATATTACATATAAATTATATAATATGATGTGGATATATAATTTTTATTAACAATAGAAAGCTCAAGAAAGTGGGAAAAGAAAACAATAAATGAATTCACTCACTATACTTCGATTAAAATTTACCATTACATTTATTACCATGTTTGTTTATTGAAATATCTAATTTTACTTTTGTCTCAAATTAATTGAAATTGACTTAATAAATAATTTATATATTCTTGTATATTTCGTATTAAATCAGATAAATAAATTGAAATTTCGAGATATTTCAATTATAGTGCGAGTTGATGCGATGTGTGTTGCTGGCATATAGCGGCCTATAAAAATCGGAGACGTGACTCATGTGAAGTCACCAGAGAACCAATAAAACTACTACTACTCCACAAATTCTCTCTTACTAGTTTCTCATTTCGCTAATATCAGAATCCACATTTCTTCTCCGATCCAAATTTACGAAGATGAACGATGCAGATGTATCAAAGCAGATCCAGCAGATGGTCAGATTCATCCGTCAGGAAGCTGAAGAAAAAGCTAATGAGATCTCCGTCTCCGCCGAAGAAGTATGTCCTAATTATTTGCTATTCACCATTTTTTGAACTGAATTTAGGTTTAATAGTTCGAAGGATCGAATAAGTATAAGATATGCTCTAATTTGAGGCTAATTTAGTTATTGAGTACGAATTCAAATCATGGATTGATGTTGAAGTTAATTTAGTTTTAGAGTAATAATGTAAAGGATGGAAGAAGTGTAAACCTTAATTGTTAGAAATATGCTCTTAGTGTGAAGTTAAATTTAGTCATAATAATCTACAAATCATGGCTTGATGTTGAAATTAATTTAGTTTTAGAGCAATAATATGAATCATTGAAGAATTGTAAATCTTAATTATTTAAAAATATGCTCTAATTTTGAATTTAATTTTAGTCATAGAGTAATAATGTGCTTGTGCTCACAGAAGAAGTAACGCTCAGTAATACAAATCATGGCTTGATGTTGAAAATTAAGTTTTAGAGTAATAATATGAAGTATGGAAGAAGTGTGAACCTCAATTGTTCAAAAATATGCTCTAATTTTGAATTTAGCCTTAGTTACAGAGCAATAATGTGCTCATAGACGAAGTAAGGTTCAGTAATGCAAATCATGGCTTGATGTTGAAGTTGATTTAGTTTTAGACTTATAATGTGCACATCTAAGAAGTAAGCCTTAGTTATTCAGAATATGATCCAATGTGGAAGTTAAATTTTGATACAGAGTAATAATGTGCATATTAAAGAAGTAAGCCTTATTAATCCAAATATGGCTTGATGTTGAAGTTAATTTAGTTTAGGGTAATAATGTGCACATCAAAGAA